ACCGCACAGCAGCTTCACAAATCTAGCTTGTAGCTCACCGAACTCGATGATAGAAGGATCGTTTGGAAAATCGCGGACCGCTAGTCTGTAGTGTATCGCAAGGGGTACAACCTCAGCTACTAACATTGTACACAAGCGACCGCTGCGGACGGTTAATTTACGATGGTAGTTTCGTACTGGAGTTAGACTTTGGAAAACCGAGATATGCAGGCGTTTCCAGGCGTTTCCTGTTTTTTTGAAGAGGAAGTACTGCGATCCCCCCCGCGCCTTCAGGCGTTCTCACTGATCATTGATTGATCATTTGCAAATGCTGGTGTAGTGGCAAGTCGTGGAGTTGCCGCCCTGCAGCCCTTCGCGCCGTGTATTGGCAAGTCCATAGGTAGGTGTGTCTAGATTATTAGCACCCGCGCTAACCAGCTGACCAATGAAGAGACGTCAGTGACAGCGGGTAATATCAAGGTCTCGGAATGGGGCCAATCAATACGCCAAATCATGAATCTCTCAACGTATGTACATGAACGCGTGTGTGCATACATACATACATACATACATACATACATACATATGTGTTCTTTCGCAGCACCACACATACATTCGCCCGAACGTAGGAAGCCACTGCTGCAAAGAACAGAGGGCAGCAAAAGGGAGGGGTATTGCAAGCCCTGCCGGAGCCCAGATATCGAGGATATCGTGGTTCCCAACAATTTGAAAATCGTTCCCAAGATCCAGCAGTCATTGTGTCAGCAGCTACAACGAATGCTACAACAACACTACTACTACTGCTGTAGACGAGTAAAACATATCAGCAACACATCCACACTCGTAGCGCCACACATACCACCCTCGCCCGAACCTAGGAAACCACAAGGTAACGGGGGTGTGCGGGTGGATGTGCTTGTTTGAAAAATACAGGAGCTCTAGAGAGCTGGCAGGGCACATTTCGGGGGGGGACAGAGAACAGAGAAGTACAGAAGTACAAATACCAGCTATGGGTCTTCACTGATCATTTTGCCCTCTCTGGACTGATCATTTACAATATACCGAAAATAGACTAGTTGAGGCAGCTAGACGACTGATCATTTCGAAGTCTACACAGCTAACCTGCCCTACTGACCGCAGCGCGACCACCCATCAACCCTTCTACGCCCTTGTCTGTGGCCACCACCCTGTCGCCGGCTTCCCTCATGGCCTACAGGTGGAGATAGCTGTTGCGTGTGCAGAAGTACACGGTGTCATTCTCTGCACTTCTCTCCGGCTCGCTCTCGCTCTCATTTTTTTTTTTTGGCGCAAAAAAAATAATCTGACAGTTCAGCCTAGACCCAAAGGGGTTAAGAGTCTACGATACACTATAATAGCGAATTCATGGCGTCAGCGAAGGCTACCTGTATTTCCACGATTTCCCGAGCAGCGCACAGCGATATCTCCCCTGTGGTTGACACAGGTTCAACAAGATAGTTTGGTGGCCATCTTGTCTCTCTGTAGACTATGTTATGCTGGGAAGGTGCGTAGAAGGAAGGTGTTGGGTACGTAGTTGGTTCTTTTGGTTTTCGGCGTTGAGGATCGGGGAAACGCGGGTGAAATCCGCGGGGCGTTTTCGTTTCGGTGCGAAAGGGTCATTCCGTTCCGGACATGTCGCCATCTCTTGTCCAGCCACGAGCACAAACTAATCTATATGATACAACACTTTCCCTTTTCGGCCCTCTACACTACCCCGAGCTAAGCTCCCTCATCGTATCTACATCTAACGACGGCGCCAGCAGCAGTGCTGCATCATGACACGAACATGCTCACTTTCTCACCGTTGTGAGAGCCCAGACACATCCGGGAAGTGCACCTCCGGGGTGTTGAGTCTTGCGCTGCCACTGGAGGACAGGGGAAAGATGTCGAGGGGAAGAACAAAGAGCCTTCGCAACCCGGTAAACCGCCGGCCCGTTGCAGTCTACATCGTGGGACACCCTGGATGGTAGAAGCCTTGCCGAGCATGATCATGCTGGGCGGGTTGCTGAGGTTCAAATCGGACGATAATGCAGAGAACCCGTCGCAGCGTCCGAACGGCATCACACCCAAGCCCAGTATCGCAAGCGTATGTAATGCCAGGTTTCGCATAGTTGGGGTGCGTTTCCACCAGCAGAGAAGCGAGAGAGAGAGAGAGAGAGAGAGAGAGAGAGAGAGAGAGAGAGAGAGAGAGAGAGAGAGAGAGAGAGAGAGAGAGAGAGAGGAGATGCAACAGTACCCCGAGAACAATCCTGATCCTCAGCACGAGCACGACGCGAAAAACGCGGCGCAATCTTGAGGAACGAATTGATGATGTGGCGGAGCCCCCGGGAACCTCGCCTGTGTGCTGGTTGTGCGCTCACCTCGGACATCACGTAACACTCTCTTGTCTTGGGGTGTCCATCCACAACGCGGAAGTGGCCGCATTGTCCATGGCGGAATCGAGCATGGTGTCGGCAGCAGGAGATGGAGGAAGGGGAGAGGGACTGGACCGATCAGTGAGGTTCCGGCCCTGCATCGATCTCCACGAGGGCAAGGTTCGTGAAAGGACACCCACCGGGTTGCAACATTGCGCACGCTCAACCCGCATTGACTGACGTCTGCTGTGTGAAGCGTTATCTTCGCCCACTCGACAATACTGATGGTATCCCGACGGTTTGAGAGTTTGAGCCACTGAAAAGAAGCTCCTCCCCTACCTTGTACCACACAGAACAGGCTGGATCGAATTGTTACTATCTACCGTAGTCCCGTTTTCAAATCTCTCTGCGATCAAACAAGTTGTACGACCAGAGCAGCAGCAGCAGTGCCACCCAACCAATTTTCAATCCCAATGGTCTGGTTGTTCTTGGTGGATACCCAACGACGCGTGTGATCTCTAAGTAGCAGCTGCTTGTCAGTGGATTTTGTCGGGAAGTTTTGCTCACCTGCTGGGGTAGGATGGTCTATCATCTATCATTCTCTAGAGGATGGTGTACAAATCGCTTTGTGACTCCACGTGTTGACGGACTGGCATCTGTGATGCTACTCTGTAGCTCTACAGCCGTAGAAGGGACACACATTGAATCCACCAATGATGGCTCTTTTGGCCCAGCAGGAAAAGGCGGTGCAGGCAGCTGCTGGCAGGACTAATGGGTTATTGTCGTTTGGAACTTATTTTCATCGACACGACGTTTTTGTTCAACTACTTGACGTAATGGAGACGCCCGCCGTGTGCTTTGATGGGCATGCAAACACAGTCCGCAAGACCCACACTGCCGCTCTACCCCCACACGTGCAGCATTAAACTCGCAATGTTGTTGCCAACCACTTCCGAGACGTTGGGAACCCAACGCTGGATCCTCTCTGTGCACGCACATGCCCGATAAGAGTCTTTCGTCTGGAGACTGTCTCCTGCACCACACCCCCCTTCGTGCTATCTGCTACAAGTACGGTGAAATCCGATGGCACCCCCTACCCTGCGAACGCCTCAGGTGAAGCAGATTGTAGGATCAACTCTGTCGGCAACAGGGGAGAGAACGTCGACGCTTGAAACCAACTACGAGACCACCAAGAGCTCGGCCGATTTCGCCAAGTAAGCGTTTGGTTGTTGACTTCGCTCTGCGCGGTGTGTTTGGCTTTGTTCGGGTCGTCGTGAGGCGTAAGATGTGTGGTACTGTACCATCCGGGAGCCTGGCGGCGATTCCTCACCAGCTCGTCAAAACGATATATTTTGGAGGTCAGGGTGAAGACCCCGATGTCCTTGTGCGGGGCGTTCCTTTTTGGCTCCTGGTCCATCATACTGATGAGTACACCGTTAACTGTCATAATATGGTTTCTTTCCTTCTCTCTTCATCGCCGTGCCAGGATGTACGAGCGAGATGGCCTCCGAGGGGGGCACGTGATCATGCTCGGCGGAGGGTGTGAGGAAGCAGCACTGGCGGCAATAAAGTAGGTTTGTTAACGGCGACCCTCTCACACAAATCCTGCTTGTTGCTCGTGTGCAGGTTTGCACTTACCCCCACCACCTGCAATCGTGTAGACCCATCGTCGAACACGCCTGCTCTTGTCGTTGCTGACGCTGACCCGCTGTTCTTTTCACCTCTCGAAATCGCACATTGCGCCTTTGTATCCCGTCCTTTTCAAATATATCGTCCACCTGTATTCGGCCGTGTTTTGTTTCCATGTATGTAAGAAGCCACGTTTTGCCAGCCGATGGGACGGAAAGAGTAGTATTTCCAACCGTTGGTCGCAAGTGGGCAAATTTTTCGGGCCAAGCAGAAACCTACCACCACAACAGTCAGCACAAGGTCTAGTCGGTGCTCCTTAACTCCTTGCTCTTTACGAGGTGCTCCCCGAGATATGTGTGTCCAATCTGGAGCTGAGTCCCTCGCTTTTGTGGTCAACACATGCTATAATAGACGCAGTAGAGACGGGTCATGTACAATCGTCAGCGGGAAGCCCCCACCGCCTTGCTGGTGTACGCGATGCGACGAGCGAACCAACCAAGAACCTGAGCTGAACCCCGCGCGTTATCGAAGGTCGCGGTAGCGATTGGATATAATAGTTTTAGGACGGAGCGAAGTTCCAACTGCTGCCATTGTCCGATCAACTCGTTGGCAAAAGTCTAAGCCGTTGTCACTACTAATACTTGTAGTCGGAACCTCGCTCCCTCGACTCTGTGTATTGTCGTCCACGGACGAAACACAGGGCGTTTCCTGGTGGCTTGCACGTCGGTGGGGGCGTTAACCCTTCTAACGCCATGAAATATCTCGATGCTGGTGCTAGCCACGTGATCGTCACGAGCTACGTCTTCAAGGTTCGATCCATTGCTTAAGATTGATGGTGTTGGTGAATGGCTCTCGCCGTTGGAAATATTCGAAAGATTAGCGTTTTGCTGCTGTCCTTCTCTGTTTTTTGTTTTCGCCTGGTGTTGGGGGTTACACGTTTTGGCAAAGTCACAGCACTGCTGATCTCATAGCCCACTTTTCTTTCACGAACGAGGCAGAGTGTCTACCTGAATTGTTTCGGTTGATGCTTTGACCCGTTTGCTCGTGCTGATATACGGCCTTGAGCTTGTTTTTCGGGACCGATGATACCGTACAAGTGTGTCAAGCCCTCTCTATTCTTGTTTGGATTTTCCTCCGCTTTGACTCTCGAGAGCACTGATGTTCCTCGTTGCTCATGCGACGGTGTCTGCTTGCATACTTCGCGTCCGGTTTCTGGTCCTCTTGAACCGAAACAAGGACGGGGAAATCGACTGGGAGAGACTGGAAGAGCTCCGAACAGCCGTAGGAAAAGATAGGTGAGCCGCCCAAAACGGGCTTAGCCGCTTCTATTGGTTCCTGCAACTATTCGTTCCTGCAACTATTCTTGTTTTGTTTACATGTGTGGATGCCGTCCGTGGGTTGTGCCAGACTCAGACGCGTACAGTGCCCTTGGTTTGAATCAAGCCTTGTTGCTGCACTATTTAGCGTCAACTTCTACTAAAGTGGCGCTTAAGCAATTTTGTCGCATGTCGGCTGACATCGCAACATCCAACAGATGCCGCGTATCAAACCGGTGACGTGTTCGTTTGCATCGTCAACCCCTTGAGCGTTTGTCCTCCGGGAAACGTTTGCACGGCTCGAACTTACAGCTTTTCCTGCGTCTTAATTTCAGGCTAGTGCTTGACCTCAGCTGCCGAAGACGTCCCGGGGGTCTGGAGCGGGGAGACTTTTTGGTGGTGACCAACAAGTGGCAAAAGTTCACCCGCTTCGCCGTCACGCGGGAAAACCTCGAGCGGTTAGCGGGCTACTGCGACGAGTTCTTGGTGCATGGGGTCGACGCAGAGGTATTAGTCACCGTTGGTACTGCTCTTGTTCTCGCTAGACCTTTCGCTTCTCTTTTTTTCGTGTTGGATTATCGCTTGTTGTTCCGTGACTGTCTCTTCTACCGCCCTGGCATGAATCCATTATCTTGTATCAGCGCAACGTAAGACATGCTGCAGGCATCCTCCCCAGGTGGGCTTGTTCTTGGTGTTGAAAAGTTGTTTCACCTTTGTTTTTTTGTTTATCTCCTCGATGCATGACAGGGCAAGATGTGTGGCGTGCTGGAAGACTTGGTATCTTTGCTCGGCGACTTCAGCCCAAGATTGGTCACCTACGCTGGAGGGGCTAGTTCTCTGACGGACCTCGATCGGGTGAGACATATTTATGGAGCCTTTTCCGCTGTTGGTTATGTCCGTTGTTCCAAATTTTGGGGTGTCACCCCCACCTCCCGCCTTCGACGCCCGCACTGATGTTCAAGTAGCCGGTAGTAGCAACTTGCCGTCATTTTGTATCACGTGCCCCATCTGTGGACGACGACCCATTTAATCGCCTTTTTTTTGTCAAAGATCGCTTTCTTCCAGCGAAACACGTAGCGGTAGGTGCAGTATGAGCCTTGAACCGCCAAGGCCCAGCCTGTGAGTTCACAGCTGCAGGTTGAAACTCGACCTATTTTTCTCGTCTACTTTTTCCCAGCGTAGTGTGATTTCTCCCTTGGAGATCGCGTGCTGGAGATGCCCGGTAAATTTTTCCCACCCGCACAAGCGCTTTTCCGCTTGTTTCCGTACGAACGGCGATGGTTTTATGGTCGCGTGGGATAACGTGTGTTGTGTGTGCATCACGAATGAAATCATGGAGCTTCCGTCCCAATGAAATGTTGGTCGTTCGGTTCGGGATTGCCGAAAGCATTGTCAAAATGCCCTAGTTGATCGTTGTCGCTGTCTGCTTTCGTCAGGTGCGGGAGCTTGGGCGTGGTCGGGTAGATCTAACCATAGGCAGCGCTCTGGATATCTTCGGGGGCGACCTTCGTTACGATGACGTCGTACTTTGGCAAAGACAGCAAGAAGCAAGGAAGCCAGTAACCAGCGGCGAGTAGCAAAGTGTCGAATTTGAAAGATGTGGTCGGCCATGGCTAAGGTCGTTGCGTTCGATCGCAGTTTGCTGTCGTTTTGCAGCATAGCATGCGATGGCAGCCGTAGTGAGTGACACTGAGAGTGCGAGCAAGCTTCAATCGTCCTGTTCAAGCTTCGGTGGCCGCTGCGTGATTGAGTTGGCTTTTGGCTGAGAGCTGTACAAGGGCAGCGCGAGAGCCTGGGTGGCATTTGGAAGTACCAAGTTTGTGGATCGCACAGTTTTTGTCTTCCTCCCAAGCAAACCAAACACATGGCAGGTATGGTATAATTGTCCACTACATTGAGACGCATTTATATTCGACAGCTACGGAGTATGTGCGAAGAGACTTGGTTGGCTTGGCCAAAACTTCCATCGTATCCGTCACATTCATCAATCCTGCTGCAACATACCCCACGTCATCACCGGGAAAGTCGGCGCCGTGTGAATTTGGTTCACGCGGCGAGCACGCCGACGCCACACGCGCCTGGCATTCCACTATGACGCCCTTGGTCCAAGGCTATATACTTGTGTCTACGACCTTCGTGCTCTCATGGTGGCTTGAGTAGCGCGTCTTGTGTCCATCAGTGAATCGTTGTGCTGTCACGTTCCCAACCCTGTTTCAACCAAGATACGGAGTAAAACGCCTGTGCTCTTGTGAAAACATGCATTGGATTGATGACAGCATCACTCATTCGCGGGAATCGCCGACAACATGGATACATTCATTTGTGCCCCGGACTATCCACTCGACTACATAGCTCATGCCACTGGCTCCCTTCTTTGACCCCCAGTTCAAAATAATGGAACTCACGCCGGCAAGCAAAGACAGCCGCAACAAAACAGGTTTGATTTCGGCCTAGATTGCAGAGTCCGGAAGTGCTGTGGTTGGTGAACACTGCGTTTGTGCCACACTCACTCCCGTAGCAGGCCCGATCCCGAGCACAGAACACGGAGCAGTCTCGGGCTAGTAGTTAACTACGCTGAAGCCTCTCGTGAGTATGTGGGGATCTGCAATCCGCTCGAGAGGCCCTAAACGAAGGCCCTGACGAAACATGAATGAATACGACGGGGTTCCGGAGATTCATTTTGAACCACTTGCAGGGTACCATGCAAAATGGATAAAAAACATTCGTCGTCCCTCACTTCGGACGACAGAGATTTCGCAGAGACCACACACGACGAAGAAAAATATGCGCATTGCCGTGCTGATTCGTCGCGATTTGCTAACTTGTTTCGCCGCCTGCGTTCAAAATGGCCATGAGCTCCTTCGCCACCTGAGATCAGAGAGCATCCCGCAGGTGTTCCTTCTTCCATGATCCTTCCTTTGCGGAGTCTGGGGGTCGGCCATGGCTGCTGATGTTTAAGAACGCAGACGATCGCATGCGCGGAAGCAAGATGGACTTCGGTTTTGTCGATGGACTTTTTGTCCATCCAATGTTGCATGTGGGTTGTGAGTGAAATTCAGTAGATGGGCTGAACGCGCCCGGTTTGTTTCACTAGGTGCAGTACTGTAGTACCGATTCACTCTACTCGCAACATCCAAAATAATCTGAAGTGATGAGACCGTACCCTTTTCGGAAGAGTTCGTCGCCACCTCGAAAGTTGGCACCGTGTGAACATTGCTCACACGGCAAGCACGCCGACGCCACACATATCTGGCATTCCACTATGGCGCCCTTGCTCCAAGGATACGTTTTTACTACTTTCCGCGTCCTCATGGTGTCTGCTGGGGTAGTGAGTCTGGTGTCCGTACGGTGACGCTCCCACCCCTGTTTCACCCAAGATACGGAGTGAAAATCCTGTGATGCTGTGAAAGCAATAGGTTTGACTTCAAGCCCCGTGAAAAGAAGAAAAGCATGGCTCATATATTGTTGAGTGTGAGGAGCGTGATCGGTACCCGGTGTGCTGAGGGCGTTACTGAAAACGTCTTCGACAACGCTTCGGGTGGAATGTTAGGGCCCCACAGTCAATTTATCGGGGGGGGTCGAATGAGCAACAGATGGCCGATGAAGAGCGCAGCTTCGCACAAGGGTGCTGCTGGCTTTTTCGTCTAACTTTATCCGTTCGTGTTCATCGGCATCGCTACTGAGACTCTACGGCATGGTATAGGCTAGGGGACGACAAAGGTGTTGAAACGCAATCGTCTGGACGTTACCTGTTCGAATTGTGAACGTCGCGACGGTTTCAAATGTCTAGTTTGTGGCAGCGTCAACATGACAGGTGCGAGGGCGTGAGCACGATAACCCTTTTTCAAGAAGTAGCCATCAGACGGAAGTTCGTGACCCGGATTTGTGCGAGCGTTCGTGAAGGATCTCGTCACCGTGGGAGAGCTGAAATGGCTTGCGGAGTTGGGCAATTCCACGGACAAGAAAGTCTTCCTCGCTATGGTTATAGTGTGTTGTTGTTGTTGTTGTTGCTGTTGTTGTTGTTGATGACGATATTTTCACGTTCATTCCACAGCCCACACTCACCACTACCCAAGGTGACTACGATCAACCCTAACCCTGGCAGTGTACACAGGTCCTTTGACTGTTTTTGCGAGCTCATTCAACAGACCTAGGGAGACAGTGATCCCTGGCAGTGTACACAGGTCGGCTAGGACTCGTCAGAGTGGTTCAGGCTTCCCACATGGCTTGTGTTTGACGCTGAGTGCCTCCGTAAAGCAACACCCGGCCAGGGCTAGGTTCGGGAAGATTGGAGCAAGTCAAGGTTCCTTTTCCCAGAAGGGGGCATCTACTTTGAGATGAACGATGGTGCAGTAGTTGTGTTCTTTGCCGTGGCGATGGTTACCTTCATTGTTTATGTTGTATTTTTCCCACTGCTGCTTTGAAACAGTTTTTGTTGAACGTACGGCGGTACCCGCAAGTTCACAGGAGCAGTTGGCTAGTGGTGGGATGGACTATTGTAGAATATAGTCCTCCCGAGAAGCGACCGCCTGGCCTTGCATGCCTTTTCACGCCGAAACAGTGCCATGCTTGGAGACGACACATTGGCAAGGAGGAGAGATGCGGATCACTTGGGCCGCAAGAGGAAAATGTTGGGAATGCGGTTGTCCTGGCCAATGCCGGGTGACAACCTTTTCCTGACCATGAAGTTTGACGGTGTACCGTTTTCATAACCAACCATGTGGTGATGAGCAGGGTGGCGTGATCAACCCTCTTGCAAGAGGTCGAAGCCTGTCTCTCGCCACTACATACTCACTCCTCGCTTGGCTCCGATCGGGCTAATTGTGCAACGTCATTCTCTTGTGATTCTCTGTCCGACCTATTGGACTATTTTTTCATATTTGGCAGTGATAGGGTGGAACAAGATGACAGGTGCGACCTTCAAACGTGCGTGGCGCGCGCGGTTAAGGCGGAGTACATGCCGCTTCTCCTACTGATAGGGCGGGCGGCCAGTCTGCAAGGGAAGTCTTGTCGTTTTTTAAAGTGAAATAGCGCCGGAAGACGATAGATGTGGTCCGGGTGATGTCCTGTCTACAGTACATTAGCAAGTTGATGTGTAAGAACAAGGGCAGGCAGTCGTATGCATCAACGGCATGTTCATGTCTATGCGTGTGAGAGGAAACAGTGCACCATCATGCGTAGTTGCTGCCAACGAGAATAGGGCCCGGCGAGAAAGAGGCAGTTACTGCATGGCCAAGAACACAACCGGAAGGCCTCCGGATAAGGCAAGGCCCACCTCTTCCACCTGACTCGGAAATCAAACAGAGGAACCTCGCGAACATCGACCGAAGAAAAACAATTTGCTTCTACATGTACATTCAATAGAGCAGACACGGGAGACAGCCAACTCTAAAACCAAGTCAAACAACGAAAATCAGGCGTGACTGGGGTAAAACAAAACGAGGCAAACTGGAGTCAAAATCGAATATCGGGCTGAGAATTCCGCTGACTGAAACTGAATGCCTATCGGGGTTCAGAATGTAAATTGTAATCATTGAAATTAACTGCAGCTTCCCAAGGTCTGCGTTTCATGCCTACTCGCTACCCAAGCGCGGAGTGAAACCTCGTTCTGCCGGGTACCGACCGTCGTATCTCGGTGCCGTAGCATCGTGCGCCCCACGCCACGCCACTTCGCTTGCCAACGGGGACCGAAATACCACATGTTTTTTAGACTAGACTCAAGAGAGAAAAGATGCCTACACATGTGGGCAACAGGTGTGGGGTGTCCTCGGCTGCTGCACGTCTTCTTTTGCCTCCTTGCATCAAGAGCCACCTCTATCCACATCCTCCCTCCTCGACCTCGTCTTCAATTAACATTATCAGTTGCTCGGACGATGGGGGTCGCCTGGAGTTGGTTCCGAAAGTGACAAGAACCTTGAGGTGAATTGCCACTGCCGTTGAGGAGAAACAATACAATACAACTTGTCCCTTCTCCACGCCGCGACGGAAAGGCAAGGAAAGAAAAAGAAGGCCCTCTTCGACTTCTGGTCTCAAGTGCCAAACAATGGGGCAACTCGAGTCACGTTGGGCAGCACGACCGCATCTGAAATTGGGAGACGTGGGGAAACATTTAAGAACGGGCCCGGAGATGAACAACAGTCAAAATCCGTCAATATCGGGGCGAGGCTTCGCTCCTCTTATTTCGTCGGGCAACTGTCGAGCACAGGCTGTTGAATAGAGGTTGAGGTAGGATCCACCGCTGAGGTGTGTTTCTCAATGACCGATATTCACATTTTTCGTGAAAAAAATCTGAGCCTTTGGTTCTTACCAAAACATTAACATTTCCAAACTGTTCGCCCGTTCTGTGTACACCGTAAAAGTGCCGTGTCATGGCATCGGGGTGCGATAGTTTTATTACTCATTCCTATTGCACGCCGGTGCCGTAACACCGACACCGGTGCGAAAAACGCAACTAAATCGTTTCGTTCTGCATGTAGATCTCCAACGAACCCGCGGTGCGAGTAGACCGACGGGCGCGATACGGAAGAAACCATGGTGGCCATTTCTTCGCGCACACCTCGACGCTGCGACATGCATGTACATGCACGCAAAGACATGGCGCCCCAATCGATACCTACCGGAGAGTACCTGTACAATGCGAAAGCACGCAAATTTACGTCCTAAGCAGACATAATACCAATATAGAATCAACATCGTTGATATCGCACCGGGTGCGTTGACGCCGATGCCGGTGCGGATTTGCAACGAAAACATGCAGTTCTTGCATTTCCGCGCACCCCGGTGCCATGACACCGATGGGTGTGAGATCAAAGATGCGAGGCATGACACACACTTTTACCGTACTCTACATACCAAACTGGGGAGAGCAATGCGAAACAAACACCCTCATGCAGCCAGAGGCACTGCCAAGCAACCATTTGTTACGCTGCTACTGCTGCTCCAGCTGCGCAGCCGGGGGAGACAGAAACGTGGGCATATCGACCTCGCCAAAGTCTCGGCGACGGTGGTGTAGAGGGATTCATTCGAGGAACGTCCCGCGATTGCGGTAAAAAGTTGAGTTGGGTTCGTCCCATGACCCTATCTTTCGACCCAGCCCCCTCAAGCGCGTCCGTCGGAGCGCATCACGAAGCTTTGCCCTTACCTCCCGTCACCCAGCTTGGGTGGGGAAGGGACAGGGCGCCCTTGAGCGGCCCAGCCGCCTGTGACAATTGTCCCGGGACAACGGACGAAACGCGCAGCCGGAAACGGTGAGTTTCGTGCAGCCGCGAAACGCAGCGGCGGTGGGAGGACGAGGACAGCGCATTGCCAACACGTGGACGCGGGAAGCATTAGGGGGAAGCACATGCTTCCGCAATATCCGACCATATCCAGCCAGGGAAGTATGGATGAGGTCGTGGCCACCGGGTACAAGACAAAACTGTCGGCGCTCTTCATGCAGCGGCAAAAAACAAGACACTACTGAACGAACCATCGGGCAACAGCAGAGGGCACCGCGAAATAAAAAAAAGGAGGGGTGTCGTAGGCAAATCGCTAAACGAAGCCAGCACGATGAGCCAAACATGACACGAAACAACAAATTTCCGCGGGGAGACATGTTCGACGTGATTATCGAGAGACAGGGACGAAGGCCGCGAAACGGGCGGGGGGAAAACAGCAACATGCCATAGCCCCGAAGCCAACGACGGCTACAGTACAACTCACCCTCATTCCTACCACAAGGGAAGGCATGAAGGCGAGGGCCGGGCCGGGGAGACCGAACGTCGCCGCAACTACAGCTGGGCCAGGGCAGAGTCCGCCCACTCCCCAACCGATGCCGAACAGCCAGCCCCCCAGCACCAGCGGCACGTCCAACTACGGGAGGGGAGGGGTTGAAGAAGGACGAACGGAAGGCGGGGTGATGTATCGCAGACCAGGAACGTCGCCCTTAGGAACTGTTGAAGATACGAACCAGTTCCATCTGTGAAGTATAACGATCAACAGATAGTCCACTTTCCACCCATGTTAATGTTCAACCTAAACCTAACGCATACTTCGCACCGGGTGCCTCCGGATCCAAAAAATACAACAGCACCTGGGCCGCACTCGGAAACTACGGCTACTTCGCGGCCCGCATGTGGCCGCGATTGTTTGTCTCTATTTGACCGGAAGAGAAGCAAGCATCGGACAGAAGACAGACTTAAAAAAAAACGCTCAAACAGCGAAAATGGCAGCGTTTCTCTTCGGGTGTACCAAAAATATTTCTACGTCGCCCCAACCACTTGCTCCCGCCGTGGGGAAAAAAAATGTACATACACGGCAAGAAACACTATTATCTAGCAGGACGGATGAAGTTGAACCAAGTACCTCAGTGCGGGTGGGGATCTCGAACTTCTCAGCGAGCGGCGTACCGGTAGCCAGCGACTGCTCCTCTTCCGCTTTGGCCGGGAGACGGCACAGCGGAGCGCCGAGGTTTCTGGTGACGAGGGGGAAGCCCACGAGACCGACCATCACGCCGAAGCCGAGGACGAACATCAACGACGGGTCCCAGCTGTTGCGCCTGTCAGCGCGAAACAAGGGTAAAACAAGGAAGGGCAGAGGGTAGACAGGTGTGTGAGTGCTGGCCAAACACAGCGCAGGAGTGACTGCAAAATCAAAGACAAAGCAAACGGACTGCACCTGTGGAGCAAATAGTGATACAACAACGGCTGTGTCAGCCAAGCAGCACCCGGGAGCTGAGACGGGCATCAAAGGACTGACCCGTCAAAGCAAAACAGTTGAGACAACCGGCACAAAACGGACAAAAGATTGCCGGTTTTGAGGAACGCTGCCGTTCAAGTAATTTGGTAACGAGCGTAGACTCGACGAAGCCGAGGGCTGCAATCAGCAGGCAACAACATACATGTCTTCGTGCCAGGCGGCCGAAGAACGTTAAGAACGACGCAAGTACCCGCAAAACAAAAATCAAGCAACTGCACAGACTGCAGCAGCGTTCGTACGGCAACAAAAACCAAGCCCACATGACTGATGACGCCAACAACTACACCAACAACATGCCTATCAACGAAAACCCTTGTCAGTCTGAGGGCACCGTGGTTATCGTGCAGTGAAAAAAAACAGGGCATCATGACGACGAGGGCATTTGCGGCACGGCAGTCGTCGACACAAAGCCAACGCGCGTCTGTCGTGCACCTAGAACAGCTCATAGGGCACCTGAGCGCGAGGAAGTTGACGACCTTGGCACGCTGGGTCATGCCTGAAAGCACGAGCCCTCCGGCGAAGCTGCCTCCGCACAGGAAGGAAACGAGGTGTGCCTTCCACTGTGCACGCTCCTCTCTGTGTTGCAAAAAAAAACACCAACATCCACGACATGGGAATTTTTTCGTGCGGGTTTTGGCAGGTGGAATCCACGAGGGAGAAAAATTCACACAAGACTTCACGAGAAGGCGACACAGAGTAAACCTTCGGTCTTGGGTGATGACAATCTGTTCTGCAATATAGCTGTAGAATAACTGGGTGATGACATTCTGCTCTGCAACGTAGCTGTAGAATAACGAGGCTTCCTGATGACTACACCGAGTTACGTACAATATTTCGCCCTCGTGAGAAGTTGTTGAAAATGAAGCACGAATGGAGTGGTCACCACAAAGGGTCTCGGAGAAACAAAGCAACTTCACAGACTACGTAACATCAGAAAAAACAAACGACCCGCCAAAGCAAGGCCGAGAAGATCGTCAAGGGAAGCCAGCCGTTAAGAAACAACGTGGAACGGTGGCTAATTCACCTGCTGAGGTCTATAAAAACCGAAGTTCAAAGCTGCGCGATTGAGCATGAAAGAAATAAGCATGCCTGCCAAATACAACTTGCAAATATACGACAGGACCAAATCCTTTTTCTTACCGCTTGGTCAGGGTCAGAAGTGTGCCCACAGCTGCTGCCGCGAGGGATGCGTACCTCGCCGCCAGCACGGGCGTCTCCTAGGAAAGGGGGAGGGGGGGGGGGGCATGGCATGGAACGGGGGGGGTCGGACATGAATTTCCATACCAAAAATTAGCGTGAGTTATCGGCGGGCCGGGAGGGTGGTACGTAAGGCCAGTTCATTCACAACGGAGACGGGTTGATGGTACTGCACCAAAACCAACAGTTGAAGGATACTGCGGGCAACTTGATGGCACGAACGAACCACCAGTTGAGATCTTTACGACACAAACAATATCGAAATACATGCCGAAGAACTCCATCACAAGAACAGGTGCGTAGGTAGGTAACAGCAGTAGTCGCTGGCGGGTTACACCACAGAGGATATCAGAAACAATTGCCTCGGGCAGAAAAAGCGTTTATTCTGATAAGAGGTGGCACCACATTGTATTGCACGCTCTCGGTGTGCACAGCAGAGTGTAGAAGGGAAGGACACGAAGAACCTCTGTAAAAGCGCGCGCGCACTCCTGATAGACGCACGTTCCCGATCGCGAAACAGCCGTCTTAGTCTGAGCAAGCAGAAGCACACAAAAAACGGAATCTTCAGCATAGAGAAAAGAAGGGTCCAACATGGTCGAACGGTTGCCAATTTTGGCGAGATACATTTCTTACGTGCGTGACGAGCGCAGCCCCTCCGCTGGCGCTGTCATTCCAGGCCGCCAACACGCTTGCCGTCGCGATGCCGCTGATCAATCGGTGAAACAAGAAAAACAGCAACAGGTCGAACCAGCCATGAAAAACAGAAATAGGTCGAACCAGTCGTAAACGTCAGCCGCAACCAGCTGCGTGCAAAGGCGGGAGCAGCAACAACAGGGTCCGCAGGCAACAGCCGTGACCAGCACTCTCATCGGTGAAACTGCTACAGAGTACGGGCCCGCGCGGCTAAGAAACATTTCGTTATGAACCAGAGGCTCAAGTTTATATCGAAAATAAATAAAACAGGGCTGAGAAACGCGCACCGGAGCGGTGGGGATCCTTACTATCAGAATACATCAAGCTGTGCTTTGACAGTGGAGACAAAGTGAGAAAAACTGAACCTCGGCCCGATTGTGACGTTTCATATCTCCGGGCCGGTTCTGTACGTAATAAAACACAAAAAAGCCTAGATAAGAAAAAATCGCAACGTCCTCCCCCGAAGACGCACACCTAGAAGTGAAGTACAGCTGCGGCTAAGAAAGGGTTTATCCGCCGGCGGAGACTATAATCAAGCCGACATTCCCGCCGACCTCCATGACAACCAGCCGGGGAAACGAATTGCCAACACGTGATCTGTTGACGAATCTCTTCCGACCGTTTACCATGGTCGGTTTCACCGACTAGAATGGCACCGCGAAAGCGCACGATACCATCGCTGCGAAACCCACCCACCAGTCGTCCCCAAACAAAAATCAAACCAACAGCAACAACCCCCGCCCAAGCATGCATCCACGGTATGCCAACATACCTGGTGAGGAACGTGAGCGTCGCGACGATGCTGCGCCTCGACAGCCGCGGCAGACCGCACAGCCCGTGCCCGCTCGTGCACCCGCTGCCAAGCCTGGTGCCCAAGCCCACGAGAAACCCGGCGACCGCGTACCCCAGGGAAGACAAAGCAGGAGCACCGGTCTGGTCTAGACCAGCTACAGGTGTCGGTGGCGCGATTTTAGCGGAAGGGGTGGGCGACGTGCAGGTGTGGTGTGTTTGCGTGCGCGCGGTGTTGGGGATGCGGAGTGAGTGAGCGCTTTCCAAGCGACAAAATCGCCGCGGCACTTGTCGAAAACGAGATGGGATGGTGTGTGAGGTGGGCGAAAGAGCCGGGGGGGCAATCCTGCTGACTGTGGCGGACCGTCAAAAACAAGCCTCAGCGGTGAACGACAAATTAGACAGGCGGCATACAGCGGGCTTGGCTTGGCATGGGAGCTCGAGCGAGAAAATACACTCAAACATGCGTGAATGGTTGGAAACCGTAAATTGAACTCCCTTCTGCACCTTGCGAAGATGCTGTGCAGAAACACGCATTTCTCTCCACAAACCCTTCTCGCCTTCTGTTTATCGTACAGGTTCGAATCTACAACAAGGTGTCGTGAACGTTGGTCCGTGTACACTAGCCGTTGGCAAATACCTGGGTACACGATTCCCGCGACAACGCCTCCCACGGTGAAACCCGATAAGAAGAGCACTTTCCAGCCCTAAGACGCAAGAACAAAGACGGCCAAGCGCAAAGGGAAGCGCACGATATTAGGGTCGTGACCGAGGAGATAGGGGCGGGGGAGGCTGGGCAAAGAGAATTCGGGGAGGGGTTGAAATACACCTTATCCTGGTCGGGAAAATCTTTCGGTGTTCTTCACGACACGGGGATTCGATTCTCTTCCGGCCTGCCACCGGTAGAAACTTACCCATTGTCGGGTAGGAGAAGCAGCACTTCCACTGCCTACCACTACCAAATACTACTGCCACTACCACTGCCACTGCTGTCAAATGCCACTCCCGATATGAACTTGACATGGAGAGGTAATGCTGATTAGTAAACAGTCTGAACGTTCCTGTACGCCAAACTCTGGTGTACTATGTGGATGGCAATGACTTCGTAGACTCGATCATCAGGCTCGCAAACTCTCATAAAAGTTCGCTGATTTCCTGTTCGTGAACTCTGGTGTACTACGTGGATGGCAATGACTTGATAAACTCCAATCTGCCTCGCAGGCTCTCGTAAAGCTTGCTGATTTGGCTCACCCGCCCGGACGCCCGCGAAAAGACTCCGTCGAAGATGCCGCTCAGACCGGCCAGCTTTCCTGACGGTTGTGTAGAGCAGAACGGCGGGAGAAGTCGGGGGGGGGGGGGGGGCTGTGTGTTCTTGCTGCACAAAGCATACGACACGAACAACTTTCAAGCGCTGGGGGCGAAGGCCGTCGTCACACAGCATGACAGAACGCTTAGGCCAAGCCTGTTGCTTCGTTGGGTATCGGATATTTCGGTGTGAGAGGTTTTTCAATGTGGAGGCTTGTCGTCTGTTCGAAGGAGTTGCACTCTGGCTATTGGGAATAGAAGTACCTTGTTCGTGTCTGGCGAATGCCGAAGAATATACGCCACCACCGCCCAACGAACAGCAACTTCCGCGACATGACGAACCCAAAAACGTATTGCGCCGGGGGGTCAGTTAACGCCAACACGGGCCCTGAACTCGAAACTTCCCCTCAGCGTTCAGTTTGGAGGAACAAGAACGATAAGAATGTGTTCGTCTACACGTGAGCAGATACGACCCGTTTTCGAGAAAAACATCTACTGTAGTACGAGCTGTGCTCGAGGATGTAACTTCGTCGCCAGTAGGTGCACACATCCAAGATACAGTACGCGGTAAAAAGTGACGTAGCGGTTGCCTCAACGTACCAAATACCCGGCGCCTAATAAAGCATCTGGATATTTTCTACAGCAGCGATAAGAACATCGACCCGCCAGCGAAAGGAAAAAATCTGTAATTTCGAGCAGCAAACGGTCGGATCAAAAACAGGGCGAACATTAGTAGCAACTGAGAGAATATGGAAACTGCAGAAATTCCATCCGGGTGGTGATCCTACACCCCGGGACTTTACGCGATGCTTTCGGCGGAAGGGTCACACCCAGGTACAGCTAATAGTAATCGAACCCCGCTGAAGCCCCCAAGATTGACCAGAAAGGTGTGATATCGTCAAACCATCTGGGAGACGGGAGCGCTTTCCCCAATGTTGCAATATTTCGCTCACACATCTCGCCACCGCCCGTTGAATGTTCTTTGGTCGTGAACGGGGTTTGATTGCCGTTATCAACGGCGGTAGTTTCATGTTGACCGAAAGGGGTATTTATGTCTCACCTGTAGCCGCCAGCATTACCGTAGTCGTGGTACCCAGGATTGCACCGCCCACGGCTCCCTCCAAACAACCATCAGGCAGCCCCATGAGGATTCTTGAATGGATCCGCGAAACTTACACCTGACGGGAGGCGCGTGAGAAGAACGGAGACAGGTTCGACGAGACGGGATTGAGCAAGCCTGCACGTTATTGGTCGAAGTAACGTTAGGCGGTGGGGACCGAACGCCTACCGAGTTTGGTTGGATTTTACTTGATCAAGGCCTTCGGTTTATCAACTCTTCTTTTGCGCCGAAGCAGGAGCCGTGTGCTGTGAGATAGACATTGGCGTCGCGAACCGTTGTGTTGTCACCCCGTCTAGCCTTAGCAATGACGAGTCGGTGCTGCAGACGAGTCTGAGTGCATGCACCCGCGGCAGAGACAACCATGCTGCTTCTTGGGAGCGTGCGTTCTCGCTTCTCTTCCGGTGGTGTTTCGGATTGGAAGTCTTATTTAATGGGAATCGCTATAGTAGAAGAGATAAAACGCCGAACCAGAAGCCGGCTTTCTTTTCTGAATCTCGCAAGTTGCCCGCTCGCACTGGCTACAACAAATCTTCGATGTATTTGCTCATCTAGAAGATGCTCCAAGAAAACCTCAACCTTCCATGTATTTACCGATCAATAAGACGCACCAACACATGAGAGAGCTTTCGGGCGTGTCACCTTGCGCCACCCTCGGGGTGCTTGACGCCCAATCCCCGAAGGGAGGCCTTATAAGCGGTGCATTCTCTTGCAGACATCCGCACCGCTTGCGTAACTTATAGTTCACGCCGAACATCTAGGAAGCGAAAATAACACACCCATCGAGCCAGGTTCGCTGATTCTGTTGACTTCTTCAATACCTCATCTACTTACCGCCACTGCTGCCTACTCTGTTGACTTCTCTTCCTTGCTTACTTGAGAACTCCGATCTGGGGGCATATGTACAGAGGACGCTTTCGAACGAGATTGGAACTCACCTACTTTTACATGGACAGCAATACTGTAGGCACACCAGTCTGGTACTGGCGTAGCATGTACAGCGGTAGGCACACCAGTCTACTGGCGTACGACTGGCTGCAAGACCAATAGTCGACATGGATAAATTGGGATATGACCAGGGCGGGTGTCGTATTTCGCGCGTATTGCTATCATACAGTACTGCATATCTGTCAACGTAGCGGTCGTGCAGGCGGTACAGCCCTTGGAGTGGTTCGTTTACCAAGCACTACATGAGCAACATCCATGGAGGTGAGAGAAGACCTACAGTTAGCCATGCGCCTGACCCTGTTTTTCGGCCAAATTTCTGTCCAGCGGATGTTCTTTCGAACAGTCCATCTTGCTGAAATTTTTATTTTATAGCCAATCAATCCCCGCATTTTTGGCAGCCACGTCAGTTTGCCAACCGAATAGACTGAACATCGGCTGTGGTGTGTCCTGTTTTTTTTTTGAGTTGACAACGAAATGGGACTGCTGCAGCCACCCCAGTTCCCGCCCGGCTGTGGGGCTGCAGGGGCATTGCATAGAGAGCAGAACAGTCACCGCTACTCATGGCGTAGAAACGGTCCATTAAGCGGCAGTAGTACCGGCGGCAGGGCCGTTGCGCCCGGGCACAAATTTCGGAGATGAGCGGAAAAAAGCACCGATCGATGGGAAGAGTGGGTAGAGGTGGGGTCTGACTTTTTTCAAACAAGGTACAAAAAAGCAACTGAGCCGCCGCCGCCCTTCCCATCCCTCTATGGGGTTCAAGAGACATTGCGAGCAAAGTCAGACAATAAGTGCTACTCATGGTGCAGGAACTGGAGTAACAGCTGCAGTAGCGCCGGCGGCAGAGCCGTTGCGCCTGGGCACAAATGTCAGATGAGCGGAAAAACAAACACCGATCGATGGAGAAGAAGCGGGTAGGGTCTGATTTTTTCAACATGGTGCAAAAAAAAAGTAACCGAGCTGCCGCCGCCTTTCCCAACCCTACACGGGGTTGAAAAGTCACTGCGAGGAAAGCAGGGCACCCAGTGCTACTCATGGCGCAGGAACGGTAGCAACAACTGCAGTAGTGCCCGCGGTAGAGCTGTTGCGCCCGGGCACAAATGTCAGAGATGAGCGGAAAAACAACACCCCCCGATGAGAAAGATAGAGCAGGTAGGGTCTGATTTTTTTTCAACATCGTACAAAAAGGAACTGAAGCTGCCGCTACCCTTCCCAACCTACACGGAGTTGAAGAGACACTGAGAGGAAAGCAGGGCACCAACTGCTACTCATGGCACAGGAACGGTAGCAAGAGCTGCAGCGTAGCACCGGTGGTGGAGTCACGCAATGTCGCCCAAGAGTCGGTTCATGAGCAAAAAAAAGAACAACGCATGAAAAATTCAATTTCACGCAACAAAATACACGCCACGCTCCTTCAATAGCCGGCCGCGCCTGCTTCGTCCCCGCTCCCAAACCCCAAACAGACCACCCCTTCGCACCCTCCCACCTAGCGATGCTCCCTCTGAGCTCGCTCCCTACTTGTTCGCTACGTAGACGGCAGTTGGTCTTCACGCCGTTGACCCGTCCCTCGGTATGAATCGGCTGGTTTGTGGCTACCAGATTTGTTTTTTGCAGCGTGGGACTTTTTCGACCGTGCGTCACCCAAAACTACTCAATCTTGGCATTCGTTTTGAGAGATGTTGGCGCAGCGGATTCTGGAGCGGTTTCTTGTACCACCTCCGCAAACACCAGAGCTACAATCTGATCGGACGCCATTGTGATTGAAGTTGCACACGTTCGTGGCAGCAGGTGAAAAAGGCTAAATATCACGTGTTTTTAGAGGGTTTGATGGGAAAGAACACGCCGATTGAAAAACTATTCGATGACTCCATAGATGTGTTCTATTCACGGGTGTGTACTGAACTGCAAGAGCCAGTTCGTTCGTGGCATCGAGTATTTCATGTTTCCCTCTCGCTGTTTAATATCAAGTCAAAACAAGATTCGGCGTCGTCAACCGGACGAGCGGAAAAACTTTGTTTTGGCCAGAGAAAGCCGAATAGCCGTGGCACGCGCATACAACATTTTGGGGGGTCAGGCGCAGGGCTAATAGTATGTACCAACTCCACGCGTACATTCAGTACTTGTAGAGGAGGGCAGACGTTAGAAGATCGGAGCCCTACTGCTGTAAAAAGGTATGTCCAAATACAGCAGTAAGTCCAAATACTGCAGTATTTGGACATCACCTGCTGTAGATTCCATATGCGATCGTGCATCAACCGCTAGGCCGCCGCACAACGACACACTCGGGCATCAAAACCGCTTGTATGGTGAGCAGGTTCATGGGTTGCCGTTGCAAAACCCAAAAATCTTTTCTGGCGCGTACTACTAGGCCGTTTTCAAACCTCTTTTGGCTCGGTACCGTGTAGTGTTTGCCTTTGTCGCGATTTTCGGGACTGTCGCAGGTGTAAAGAGGCGTTACGACCCTCCTGAAGCATGCGTACCACTGATGCGTACATGAGGAGTCCGTCCCCGCTCCCGTTCTCAAGCCTGAAACATCGAGCAAAAAAATAACTGAAAAATAAAGCCAGTGACACTAGCAACGCCGACGATATTATTCGTCGGCTTGCTCAACACAGCGTATTTGCCAAATAAACTTCTGTTGCTGGATCGGAGCAGAGAGAGAGAGAGAGAGAGAGACAGAGAGAGACAGATAGAGAGAGAGTTGCTGGGCTCCTTTCTGACTCCTGTTGTACACGCTAAATAGCCTCGATGCGCCTCTGCCGCTGCTGCTGTGTCGCGTCTGTGTAAACTGCGGTGCTGAAACTGGCCAAGGGGGTCCAGAGGGCGGCGGAAAAGTAACGCGTGTCCGCGGGACCGCCGCGGCGACATTGCGTGCGTCCCGCTCCATGGATCAGCACGAGCATGCGAGAGGCGGATGCTCATCAGTTACCCTGAGCGCCTTTCTCCAACAGCTGCCCAAGTTGAGGAGCTGGCTCTTGTTCTAGACCGGTCTCCTCTAGTCTACATCATAGGCTGTGCCTGCGTTGACGAAGGACAACCTACAAATGTCTTGTGACCAGGAAGAGAACGACCCCACCGAACTCCAATAGGGCACACCGCAACCACAAGCTTGTCTCACCTCAGAACTGGGCGCGTGGGTGCAAGAGAGTAGAGGCAGGAGGCAAAGAAGAGACAGCTGGGAACAGCGAAACTGCAGACAAGAAATTGGTCGCCGGCTTGGTCGATTTTGATTGGCCGAAATCACCAGCACTTCTTGGTTCGGGGTTCGGAGATTCGGGGAAATTGGAGTGTTTCGAACCAGTTCCAACTCTAACTCTTGCTGTCGCCTGTTCGTTGTTGTCGTCCTTTTCGTCCTCGGTCAGGCCCTATGGAAGATGACAATAAAGAGTACTCTTTATTGTCATCTTCCATAGGTCAGGCCAGTTGTTATGGAAAGAGTTCCCAACTGGGAATCCCGATATTGAGCCTTTTACATCCAAACCCCCATGCGTCAGCAGGAGTTCTGCGCACTTTGTGGGAAAAGCACGCCAAAGCGCTTTGTCAATCAGTACTCGCCTCACAGAAACCCGTTTGCGATCAAACCTTCGATGCTGTAGGCTGCATTGCTGTGAGCCTCTCGGAGCCAAGTTTGGGGAGCTGGGGTGGAGTGTGTGTTCATCATGCTTGGAAAAATAGGATTCCAATCTGGGAATATTGGACAATCCTGCGTGGGAATTCCTCATGGATTCCAAACTGGAATTAATTGGTTGAAATTCCAATCAGGGAGTTGTGAATTTGCTTTCATATCCGAGGCTACTCTGTGCAAACTCCATTCTAGCTGCCCAAACTTGGCTCCGCAAAGCTCACAGCAGTGGACTGTACAGCATCGGTGGTTTGATAAGGAACAGGTCTCTGTGAGGCGAGGACTAAGTATCGAAGTGCCGTGGTGGGCTCTGCCTGATATCCAGTACGCAGACCTCCTCTTTTGGGGGGTGGCTTACCATTTTCTGTCGACCCCCCGGATTCCAATCTGGGAAAATCTACCATAACACTTGGCCTCATCCGTCGTCATTTCAAATGCATACAGCAGTAGTTGTGTGGAACCGATCGCCTATTGCATATAATCTGCTTTTTGAGATTGCCAA